AATGATTTTCTTTCATGTTAATAAAACAAAGCTGTGCAGTCTCCAAAATTATGGGGTTAAACTTTTTTGTATGTTGTTGGTGTAGAAATTATTTTTATTTTATTCTCGTCAATATTTACCACCTTCATACATAGGTGCTGTATTTGGCCAGGTGTAAATAACAGAATAATGATGCGTTGTTTGCAGAAATCCCCAATGCAGCTTGTAGATAAGAAATTAAAAAGATGAATTTTGCAACAAAAAAAATTGCAAAATTCATGGGGAACACAGGGAACCAGAGCCAAACAAAAGCAGGAATCCAGAACAAAAAGACAGAAGGACAAAACAGGGAAGCAAAGAGGTTTAACGGGAGTTAAGCAGCAAGGAGGAACTGAAAGAACTGATGGCTGATTGGAAACTGGTCACAAACAGCTGCAGTTTTTAAATAAAATCATTGACTGTTCGTGGCCCAACTTTATTTAATATTAATATGAAAACAAAAGATGTGGCTAACAAAAGTAAATACTTTGTTTAGTACTAAAAACTCTTCTTTTAAGGAGATATAAATCAGACTTCAAAAATGTCAGAAAGCGTCCATCTGCATCAGCTCTCTTTGCTGGAGGGTCAAATTTGAGCCAGGGGTCACGCAAAATGTTTCCAAGGGCCACAAGTCGCCCCAGGTCTGAGGTTTGGTCTGCTCTGAAGCTTTCTCTCTCGGGATGACAATGAAATGATTTACCAACAAAAAAGGGGAAAATTGCTGCACATTGATGCACAAAGAAAACATGTTCATAAAGTCAATTTGGGGGAATCACCTTTAAATTAAGATCTGACCATTAAACGGCTTTTTAAACTTGACAGTTTTGGTTCTGTGGGCCCCATGCAGACTCTCCCTTGCTTGGCCTCTTATAACAAAGATATATGGACTCAATAAAAGAACAGGATCCTTTTACTGAAACTTTAGATAGGACAGTTAAGATATCATGGACCACCCATCCTCCGTTAGTCTGTCTGGGAGCAGATGGTCACTGTGAGTGTGCACGTTGCACAGCTGTGATTTCAAAACAAACCGGCATGTTTTCACTTTGTCTTAAAAATATGAAGTTCTCTTGCTTTCACATCCTCGTGTTCACAAAAGGAAACCGAGAACGGTTTTAAAAATGACTCTTCAAATTGTACACCTGTGGTGCCTTTCTGTTCGAAGAAAAAAAAAACCCTTTCCATTTCATTTTTAAATATTTTAAGGAAATATTAAAACAATTTTAACGTTTGGAGACTGAACGGTTTGTGTCAATGACAACAAACCGTTCATATTTTCCAGCTTTATTCTTTGTAGCTGGCAGCCATCTTGCTATGGATTTGCTATGACAACATTAAAGAAGCCACATGCTAGCTGTTGCCTGGTTCTTGACGTTTAAGCAGCATCATAGCGACTGTTGATCGATCACAATATTTGAGTACTCTACCCATCTCTGTGTATCTCTGTGTAATACTAAGATAAATACACTTACTGTTGAATTAGCAAAATTAGCTTAGCTAATGTAGCTTTTGTCTGCTAGCTAAGACGGACAGGTAGCCTGCATGTAAGTTACCACATGTGCTAACATTCTCAGCCAGCAGAGCCTTATAAAAAAAGTTTGTAGTCCTTTACAAGGCGTTTTGAACACTGATTGTATTCGTTTGTAGATTTCAGGCAAAGTTTTTCTTTTTGTTGAGTCTGCTGTGTGTGATGGATAACGTTCGGTTCAGACTTTTGGAAATACAAAAGAAAATAAAAACACCATCTAAGTTTTCTCTTCCATGTAACTCTGATACTCAGAGTTGTTTTGGTTTCTCGTCTTTTTGTCGTTTTCGTATTCATGAATTATTTATTCAACCAATTCTACAGCAGTTTCCTCTCTCCCTTTTCGTCAGCTGTAAATCCACACAGTACTTAGTCATGACAGGATTTCTGTAAATTAAAGCCTCATCAAGTGTAATTTGTGAGGCATCACCATCAAGCCTCATGCTGTGAAAACTCTCTACAAACACTCTCATGGATGCTTTAACATTTAAGAAGTCAATACGGTAATAATCAAGTGCAACTTTACAGCATCTTCCCTCAAAAAACCAAATGTTTGCACATGAACATTAAATTAAATGACTGTTTCTGGACATTGTAAGTCCAAGTTGCCACTCTTTGAGTTCTCCAGAAGTGAAGTTTGGGTTGTTTTCATTCGTTTGCCATTCCTCTCTGTCAAAATCTTGTGTTGTTTTTGGTTTTTCTGGGTTTCTAGTTTTGATCTTTTGTTGTCTGTTTATCCTTAGTTGGTCTTTGTTTTCTCTGTCCCTGTTTTGTTTATATTATATTAACTTCTGTTCCTATCTCACTTTAAGTCAGTCCGATCTTTTAGTTAGATCCTGTTTGTTTATTTCTTGTATTTTGTTATTCTTGGATCCTTTTAAATTAAGGGACTGCATATGGAAAATAGCTCCAGCTAAATCTTTTATTAGTGTCTTTTGCTCATTGTCCTTGTCTTAGATAAACTAATAAACTAAACTGTGTTTTTCCTGTTTCTCTTTCTTTCTCTCCCTCACTCTGCCTTCTGCTCTCTCCTCGCAGCTGCACCCTGATCATAATTCTGCACAAAAAAGCCTCAGCTTTCCTTTTTCTTAGCTTTCTTTGTCTTGTTATGATCTTATGACAATGATTACTCACTGTAAAACATTTGAGCCACATTTAGTTGTGACTACTATCTTCTACTCTCTAACTCAAATGAATTTGGTGAGATTTAGATCTCGAATCTAAATGTGTGACTTTGTGAAAGATAAACTTACACGAGCAAGTTGTGTTAAATTTTTATTTAGTTTCTTGAATAAATTAGAGTTTTTAAGTTAGCACTTAAAAAAACTGAAAGAAGAAAAAGAGAGTAGTGGGAACTATTTCCCAGACAAATGCTTATTTTAATGAAAATAATACAGAAGTCTGTGCTCTTTAACTAGCAGTTTTTTATTGCATATTTTGAAATTATTATTTGGTTGAAATTGTGGCATTAAGTTAAAGCTCACAATTCAAGATGAATGAACTTTAAAAACAATGATTTTTAAAGTATTGTTTACTTTAGTTTTTTTCCCCTTTGAGGTTGTAAAACATTCACACAAAAGTATAACTGAGGTTGCATTTATTTGTTCGTAATATGTAGAACGATGGAAAAAAAGCACAAAATTAGAAATGATATATTACTTGAGTAATACTCTATAATGAGATCTATCATCGCACCATAACTCATTCTCGATGTATACCAACAAGTTTGGTCCTGTTAGGAGGTAAAACAACATCCAAACCCTTCAAAAGTTTGAAATGCAGCCATAAAACAAGTTTTTTAAGTACTTTTGTTCGAGGCTTTCGAAGCATAAAATCCTACAGAGCAGTTATAACAAGTGCAAAACAACTGTTACATTTAGTTGTTTATAACTACTAAACACTTAGTGAACTTAGTCATCCTTACAGCCCAAAGCTGAATGTTATTATCAGAGGAGGCCAATAATCCACACCAGGTGTCAACTCCTTCGACTTCTTGTAAATTATTGAAATTTGTATAATAAAAGAAAAGTTTGTGAACTTGTTGATTTTTTTGTGAAGTTCCACGGTCATTTTACCTGGCAGTAAACAGATAAAAAGTGTATTAATTTGATTAACAACCTAATAGTTAAACACACTTAGTGTTTAGTCTAGAATATAGAGGGCCACATAAACAGCTATGGCGGGCCAGATTTGGCCCACGGGCCTTGAGTTTGACACATGTACCGTAGAGACTCTGGAGAGCTTCATCATGGGGAAGATGAGAGAGACCAGAACCAACAATACAGCTGCTGTTCTAGCGACCCGGGCTTCTTTAGAACCGCAGCTTTGCCACAGGCCGATTGCTTCCTTTGAAGGGACGGAAACTTAATACATTCAGCTGAAACCAGATATTTACATACACTGGTTTGAAAGAGCCCTATCTGACATTAAATCAGACTTAACTTTCACCCTTTCATTCACATTATTTGAGTTAACTGGAGGCACGCAGATGGATTTATTTCAACAGTTTCCTTCTGGAAGTGTCAAATAACAAACGATGACAGGCAGGGAATTATGTACCTTAACACGTCTGGTTCGTACTTGGGGACAATTTCCAGGTACCTGAAGACGTCACATTCATCTGTTCAGGCATAAACAGCCTGGGAACGTCCAGCGATCACAGGAATGTGTTTTCATGTGCAACATGGGCCCCACAGACCAGAGAAAAAACTTTGTGAAGATATTGGCTGAAACCGATGAAAACAGGGTCATTATCCAGTGAAACATGGGCGACACCAACATGGGCTGAAGGGCCATTAAAGAAAGAAGCTATTGCTAAAAAAAAAAAATAAAAAACACACAGGAGGAATCAACAAAAATTAAGCTTTGCACTTTTAATAATCGGTTTAAAATCCTTTAATTTATCTGCACCAAAACTGTTAAATTCAGATTTTATTGCTTATTTTATTGCTTATTGTTTATTTCTCAATAAACAAATGTTACAATTCTACGTCTGTGGTCTGTGTCAAAAGGGAAGCATTTACGACACGTCCTTGAAGATCTGGGGACCGCAGGCAGCTGTTTAGTTCTCTTATGCCTTGGACCGGCTGAGTCTCATAGCAAATATGTGGACAGACTCGACTCTGTTCACCAGTTCTGACACAAGGAATGGCGCAAAACCAAGGCAAATAACTGTGAGGCTCATATGGGCATGAAACCAAAGTCAAATTAAAGTATTCATTTAAATATTAATGATTCATTTTGCATTTTGCAAAGCACTTTCTTTTCTCTAAAACAACAAAATGCACTAATCAACAGGTGAAGCTAATCGGGCTTGTGCTTTACTTTTGTCTGCGCGTCCGGATGATCAGCGGCGTCCTGGCGCGTAATTGGAGTGGATGAAGATAGAACACGCTGCGCGCATGCAGAGTGGGCGTGGAAACGGGCTGCTTCCCTGAGCGGAGCCGACGCGCTTCAGCCAAACTCACAGACCCAGAACCAGAACAACCCCCGATGGCTCATCCTCCCCGTCATCCGGACCCGCAAACTGGACTGTAGCTCCGCGCAGGGGGCGCTTTAAAAACTGAGCCACTTTTGTTGTTGTTGTTTTTTTTATTTTTGCCATTTGTGGAGCTTTTCTCCTCCTCCTCCGCTCTTTGACAACAAACCCAGGAAGAATCGCGCAGCGATGACAGCCGTGATTCCTCCACCTATAAGTTGCTGAGACTTCAACCTCCGTCGATCTTGCATCTGATTGCTGACGCTTCTAGAAATATGCAAAGGAGATACAGGATGAAATTGGTTTTAATAGCAGCCTTACTTGGACTGGTGAGTGCCACTTTTTGTTTGTTTGGATGAAAGTTTTTTATATATGTTTGTAAGAAAGTTCCCCCCTTCTCTTTTATTGGTCTGTGATGACCAAAATCTCTGCATTTCTTTAAAATCCACCAGTTTAGCAACAAATCGTTGCTTTTCTTCTGTCTTCCTCCGCCCTGCACCTGTCTTGTTCCTGACGCCGGACAGTGTTGAGCAGGACGGATGCATGCAGCAGCAGAGCAGCCATTCAGGTTGACACTTTATAGCTGCGGCTGCTGCATGGAGCTGCGGCTCTCCACCCGTCTCAGTTACATGCGCGTCCGCAGACAGAAGGACAATAACAGCGGAGACTCTGTGCAGCACCTGATTTATTCACTTTCTGCCGCTCCAGGATGGTCCACTGTAAAAGCAGCGTTTCTGTTTTGTCGGGTCACGTGACCTCATATCAAAACTTACACGGGTCAAAACAGGAGGAAGACGCTCCGCAAACATGAGGGGAATTCAGCTCCACAGTTCTGCAGTATTTGTGATTTACCCTGAGGTCAGAGGAGAGGATGCATTTTTCAGTTTCCATGAGTTTGTCCGGGTCCTGATTTAGGATCCTGTCAGCACATGACAGCTGCTCCCACTGATGGCTCTGCACCCCCTGCTGGCTCAGCACATGCAATATTGATAGGTGCTGGACCACTCTTCCTCTTCCTCCTCTTCCTCCTGTATCTTCCTCTCCTCCCTTCGTCTGCCGCTCTCCATCTTATCCTGGTTTTAAACACACATTTATTTTGGAATGAATGTGTGTTGTTGTTGTTTCTTTAAAATGAAGTAGACATAAAAAGTAAGAACATTTGTATTCACTCATTTAAAAAAATTTTTTTTTTTAAGTAATTTAAATTAATTTATTTATTACAATCTGTAAGTATTAGTGTTTTTCACCAGATGGTAAAAACCAAAGGAATAAAAATAAAACTTTGTAATTACATAAACAAAATAACTATTACTAGCTAAAATTTACATGAAAACATACATGTGACAAGATGACAGCAGAGATGTTGACAACTCTGATTATTAATTTTCTATGTTCTTAATTAAAGAAAAGACTAATTAGTCGATTTATTCTACATTGTTTCTTGTATTGTTGAAAAACTTGTTGATTTTCTCTTAAATTGCAAAAAAGGGAAACTGAAACAAAATAGTTAATTTGTTACATGCAATCAAATTTAGTTTGTCAAACTTAACATATTTACATTTATTTAACTTAATTTACTTATTTGTAACTCAGTTTTTTTTAAGGTAGCCACCTGTTTTCTTTTTTTCAGTGTTAGGAAAACTAATTAATAAAAAACGTATAAAACAGTCTGTCAGTGTTCAGTGGAGGCAGTATGATGCTGTGGGGTGGAAACTCACTCATTGAAAAACGCCCCAGCAGAACATTTTTTATCACACAACGACTCCAGAATTTGGAAGTGAAAAGTAGATAAATGTCAGTTTTGATCAACTTGGATGTGCTCGAAGAATGGGTTGGCGTCCCACAACAGTGTTTGACTAAACTGGTGACCACAATGAATTGGTACCAGGCCGCTGTACTGATGTCTGCTGAATTTCCAACATATCATTTTGCTTCAAATGGCAATCATCCAATCCAATAAACATGGATGCAGACTACATAGTCGAATCTAAATTTTCTTACAAATGTTTCAAAATGAACAGATTTTGTAACAATGTAATAATTATTGCCCAGCAGCACTGCAAGTTTCTACATGCTTTGTGTTAATCATATATTCTATCATATAAAAAAGCATTTCTCCTGAGCGGCATTTTGTTGAAAAGACAGCATAAATATCTACAACAAATTTAAGTTGCATGACATTAAGAAATCTACAACACGTGCTAGCAGCTAGCTTAAGGAAACTTTCAAGGCTAACAGATCCAGCTTCAAAATATTTTTACTCAAGTAAAAGCAAAAAGTATCCATCCAAGAAATTACTAAAGTAAGAGTTAAAAGGTATTTGGTAAAAAATAAAAAGTCTGCTCAAGTTCTGAGTATATAAAATGTAAAAATGGCGTCATGAGACAGACCAAAAAATAATGTTAATACTTTTGGTATTTCATCAATAAAAATTATAATAATTTATTTAAGTAACAAAAACTAACAAACTCAGGCAAAAGAAAAAAAATTCAAATCAGTTTCTTTTAATATGAAATTTATGAAACTTTAGCAAAAACTGCAGGTGTGTGTCTAAATTTTAGCTTTAATGGGTAGAGAATCGAGAAATTTTACTCAAGTATAAGTAAAAAAGTATTTCTGAAAGTGTATTTTTTCCAAAAAGTTACATTTTGATGGCCTTCAAAGCTTCTTAAATTTAGGTTTGACATATTGGTCTACAACAAGTCCTGAGGTTAACCCTGAGCGGGGCAGTCGGGTCCGTTAGAGCAATAAAGCCTTATTGAGATATGAAAGCACGTTTATTTCAGCCTCTGCATTTATCACCAGTGTACATTTTGTTCCATCTTCAGGGACTTCACATTAAAACCGACTTATGGAAGCATGAAAGTCGAGCTTCGACTTGCCAAAAAGGCTTGTTGAAAATCCTTTATACCTTTATACGCCATGTGCTCAAATGCCAACCTCCAATAATCTTTTTGCACCATTCATTAGATTTTAGCCAGCTGATGCATTGAGAGGCAGTGTTTTGTTGCACTGACACCTGGAGCTAAAAACAGGTCGAAAAGAGAGAGAGAAAAATTAATAAGCAGATGCCAAACACTGGAATCACTCCAAGTGTCATTTTGAAACGGGTTTGTTCAGATCACGGGAGGTTTGAGCGTGAGTCTGTCGAAAGGCGTGTGCGTTAAATTAGGGGGGCGGGAAAGGGGAAGCACACAGCAGGCGGGCTTGATTTACATTTTAATGACTGCTTTTGTGCGGTGTAATAGTGAGGCACAGCATGTCTTGCGGTTTTGAACAAAGTGAGGAACAATTTGTGGGAGACAAGAAGCATCTCTGAGGTTCTAAATACTGTATAAAAAATTACAATGTTCAGGTTTTCCTGAACCACTGCAGATTTAACCTGAGGGAATATGATCACTGGAAAAACAAGCTGTATAAACCAACCTAACCCTAAGAGATCAAATAATTGCACCCTAAGACTAATAACTGAGTTTGCAAAAATGATTTGTGATAAAAGGTAGAGATCAGAAAGACGTTCTTCACAAGCAGCTTAGCCGTTCAACTTCGTAGTTTTTCACTGTTCAGGTTTTTTTTTGTTTGTTTCTTTATTTATTTACTTTTTGCATTTGTTGTTCTTATTTGTTGTTCTTGTATTTTATGATTAACTGATGCGCTATTTGAGTAACTTTGGTTGGCTAAGCACTGCTCCAGTTTTGGAATTTTGTCATTTTTGGTGTTCCTTATTTTTTTTCTATTTTTGACTTTTTTTCCACTTCTGTTCTTCCTTGGTGATTCTAGTTATGTTTTTTTTTTCCTTGTTTCTAGCTATTTTCTGTTATTTATTTAGTCTAAGTTATTCTTTAGTATTAATATTGCTTCCACTTTCTCTCCTGCATGTGGAACCAATCAGCTCATCAGCCTTTTGTTAAGCCTCTCATTCTCAGCCACTACTTGCTGGATCCTCATGTTTACTCCCTTCACTTCCTCATGTTCCCCTTGCTGGATCTTTTTACATTGACTTTTGGTTCTTGCCTTGGCTCCCATTGGTTTTCTAAGTTTGTTTTTTCATACTCTTTATTAAATTTTCATATTCACTGGCTGCTTCCGTCTCCTGCATTTGGTTCTACTGCAAACATTTACAAACTCATGACGGCTCCAGGTTTTCTCCATTTGTGAATAATTCCTCTTATTGTGATTTACTCTCAAAATTCTCAAAATCTACACGGTGAAAAAAAAAAAAAAAATAAAAGTCACACTGAAACTTTATTAAATAAAATTATTGGCTTTTCTATAGTAACTCAATGTATTTTGTCTGACAAAAAAGTAAAAATACAAGAAATTTATTCAATGATAATTTCTATTTACGACATAATATTGCATAGCCATTGTCTAAAACACATATCAAACTCAAATCTGGCCCACTGTATCAATAAGTCTCTTTAGATTTTCACAAATCTTCAAAATTGACACAAAATCCACATTTGTTCAGTTTTTGTTGACATTTTTTCTCAGAAATTGGTCAAAACCATTGGGTTTAGTTGACTCCTGCTTCAGCCTTACTTGATGTTGTTACAATAACTAAGTAAGTAAAATCATCATTTTATTAGTATTTTAACAGTTTAATCTGTTTCATCAATACATTCTGGCAAACTGGCTCTTTAAGAACAGTCAGATTTTTGATGTGGCCAAAAATTGAATGACATTTTTAAAGTCAATAGATCTCCATCAATTTCTACAAACTCAGTGATAGATTCTTGACCAGAAGGAGAATGTCGGAGCGCGACATGGACCATGTGAGCGGCCAGGTTAGGCGGTGTGTGTGAGCTCGCTCGCTCGCTCGCTCACGCGACTTCAGAAACTCGTCAGCTGACTCAGAGGAGCCTGAGGGAACGCTCGGTCCTCGTTCTCCTGTCAGCTGCATTCCTCACACACCTGAACCCTGACGGTTTACACAGAGCGTACCTCCTTCACTCAACGCCTGCATGTGTGCGCACATCCCTTTAAACTCGCTCGTGGTCACAGGTGGTGGAGAAAAACTGCGTAACGCAGGAGCAGCACTGCTTCAGAGTAAAAAGTAGCCATTCAAGAAATGAAGTGAGGGTTAAAAAGTATTTGGTAAAACGCCTACTCATGTACTGAGCAACTGATCAAATGATCAATCATTTAATATTTAAAAATTACATAATCAGACAAAAAGTTTACATTTTAGGGGCAAAAAATGATTAAAGAAAAAATGACAAAATCACGTCAAAGAAAAAGTTTCCAAATCAGTTTCTTCCAATAAAAAACTTGTGAAACTTTAACAAAAACTGCAGGTGTGTGTCTGTCTAGTGACGTTTTAGTTGAAACATGTTTGTTTTTCACTGAGTGGTTAAAAAATCCAGAGATTTTACTCAAGTAAGAGCAGAAATACGTCACAAAATTAGTAAAAGTAAAAATTACCGCATGGCAAAAATACTCCTGAAAGTAAATTTGTTCAAATAATTATTCAAGTAAATGTAAATGTAATCAGCGATTAAACCAACTCAACTCTGTCCCAGTAGGAAACGAGCCGAATCAGATGTTGCTTAAAAACTGTTTCTGCTCTGATTTATGGAGACACTTTGGGAAGATGATGCTGATGAATCCTGGCCTGAAGGGTAACTGTGTCCAAAACAGCCAATGTGGAAAATCCTTTAACGTTTCGAATTGAATAACAATCGTATCCTCCAAAAGAAGAACAAAACTAAACAATTAACTTTTCCCCCCCTTGTATTTAGTTTCCTTTTTCTTCTTCTGAAAGAAAAGTGTGGACAGTGCCTATCTGATTTAGTTTGAAACTTATCACCGCTCTCATCAGATTTCTCAAGGTGATAAAGAAGTTTGTTGGACGAGAGATTAAAAACAATGACGTGGTACGAGAAACATTTGATGGCGTGGCATCATTTTTTAAAGATCACAGATTCACTTTTTACACAAACGCGAGAAATTTGAAGATTGGAGCAAAGTGACCCCATGGCTCTGTGCACAAACACCTTCTTCTGTCGGCAGGTTCGTCTCTGAAGAAAGGAGAGCGACTTCACTTTGCATGGATGTGTCGTGTTCCTTGATTGCAGCTTCTGATTTACACGTGTAAATATTGAAACTCGGTCGGCCAGAGGGATGGTCGGTCATTAACCCAATAACTTAAGGACTCAAACAGGTTAAATTCCTGCTTCCAGTAAGAAAGCACTCAAAAAAATGGACCAGCATGTAAAATATTCATTTTTATCACTATTTTTGCTTTTGAACATTGCTTGCCTTGAGGCTGTAATCTTTCCAACTGCAGTGTGGTTTTCTTGTCCTGATTGTCTCGGCTTTGTTTAAAAGCCAGATGAATATGAGAAGTTTTGTTTTTCACAAGATCATGGGAAACTGAGAAAGAAGCTGAAAGTTTTCCTTTTTTTTTTGTTTGTTTGTTTGCTTTCCAAGCCCTAATCCGACTGCTTGAGGACTAATATCTCTTCGGATCCTAAATTTATCAAAGGAAATTCCAAAAATAAGTTTATTAGAGAGAAAGAAATGGGATGAGAAGAGAAAGAACATTATTTATTGTTTCTGCTTTCCCTTGCCAAGTATTTTTACTGTCATTTCTAGAGCAAATATCTTAGTAAAGTAATTTATCAGCAAGATATAGGAGCTTGTTTTGATTAAATAATTCTTTAATATTGCTGAAAAAGTCCTAATTTCACTGGGAGATATATTTACTCGTAACAAGACAATTATGCCAGACAAATTTGATTGATATAATTTGACAGTAAACAGATAAAAACTGCATTGATTTGATTGATAACATAAAATTTAAGCACATTTAGTGTTTTAGAATCCAGAGTACAAAGCTATGATGGGCTGGTTTTGGCCTTGAGTTTAACACATACAATATGCCCTGAAATACTGGAAAAACATTTTAATTTGCACAATAATTGCACTTTCTTTTGACAGAGCAACACAAACCTTTGCACTTTGGAAACAAATGCATGAACCTTTTAAAGTGACGAGCATTTTCGTGCACAGCTGAATGGAAGTAGGCGCTCATTTGCTGGACCTTTCTCTTGAATCGCAGGCCGAAGCTGTGGCCTCTCAGCGCAACTGTCCGTCGGGCCAGAACACGACCAGCGGAGAATGCTGCAGGCAGTGTCCACCCGGCGAGGGCGTCGTCACGCCCTGCGGCGCCAAACAGACCGAGTGTGCGGCGTGTCTTGACAGTGAGTACCAAAATAAATCATTTCCCAGTAGGCTGGTTCTGTTTGATTATACTGCCTGCAGTAAAAGGCGAGAAACGGGGAAGATTGGGAAAAAATACACCAGTTTTTAACGTTAGAGAGTTGCCAACTTACACAGCTGCATATTTGTAACCCTGATTAAATTATTCCAGATCTTGTTGCGATAAATGATAATATTGTTGCTTTAAGACCATTTTCAAGTAATGTAAGGGTTAAGGGCACATTCTGATCAGTGAACTTTAAATTGTAATAAACATTTGACACTGGAACTGGAAGACATTTTAAATTTACACAGTAAATAAATAAAACAACAAACACAATGAATTATGACATCTCTGTAAGCAGCAAAATGCAGACCAGTTTTAGAAGAAGGAGAGAGAGTTAAATCATGCAAATGGTTGAGCTTGTTTTAATTTACCATGTGATTAATTGGTTTATTTATTGTGATAGTCCTAATTGTGCATTCCTTCTAACAGTTTTCTGATGGAAAACTGTTAAATTGGAAAACGTTATTTAATGGCTCAACTTTCCTCATAGCAGCCATTCAGACTTTTTTTTGTGCCCAAATCTAAATATATATAAAAAACATTTTTTATGAAACTTTCTGTCAAGACTATAAAACGTTTCTTAAGAAATAAATTAAAAAATATATATAAAATATACATTGCAGGATTTTTTCCATTGTTTCAATCAGAATGAGTGTAAACATGATCAGTGGTTTTTTTTATTTATCTTTTTTAAGAAACAAAAAATGGCTCAAATCATTCTAGTCTTCCCAAAAACGTAAACGTTACCAAAAATTAAAGAACAAAATTCTTATTACATGTCCCAACATTTATCTTTTACTAGTTTTTACCAATTTATTTCTACCTTCTGAGGTTGGATTTATTTTTAAGAACACATACTTGCAAATTTTCAGTTTACTGCTCTTAAAACTGTTTTCATAGTAAAAGAAGTCAAGCCACAAATTCAGTTTTATCCTTATTATTATGCAGTCAATGTATTGTGAACATTTCAGGTTGTTGCTGCTTCCAAATGACGACTAACAATTTGAACTGAAAAGAAAAAGTAAAATCCAGTTTAATCTGTTTTGAATTTCTGATGACCGTCCAGATTACCAGCAGAGAGTTCAGAAGCCAATCATCTGCAGTAGATATGCATTAATACACTTTGGCATCGGCAGCTCAAGCTGAAACCTCTGGTGATAAACAACCGTATCGATTTTAAAGCAGCTGATGGAGCATTTGGAAAAATCTTTGTCTACTTTAGCAAGGTGATGTTATTCAGGAGGGAAGTGGATTGCCTGACGTCGCATGCTAAAGAACATAAACACAAAATCTTACCAAATAGTTTTGATCTAATTTCTACTGCAAATAGTTTATATTTCAAACCAAATGATGGTTAAAATTTTCTCCAAACTGCAGGAACTCCTGAAGCTCTCCATGCTTTTAGATCTGACAGCAGCATTTAACAAAAACACATTGACCAAGTATTTTAGGTTTTTGTGTAAATATCTTAGTACAGTTGAAATAAGACAAAATTAGCTTATAAGTAACTTTTCAGCAAAATATAGTAGCTTGTTTACAGTAAATGCATACTTAAAGTCCCTGAAAAAGTGCTAGATTATTTAACTTATAACAAGAAAAATATGTCTTGCTATAACTGAAATAATCTACCAGTGGTATAAATACTTTTGTCAAAATCAATTATAAGGAATTATTGACTTAAAAGAAGCTCTTATATCTTGCTGAAAAGTTAATTCTAAGTTAGTTATGTTTAATTTCAAGTGTACTAGACCCACAAATACTGGAAGGATTTTGTGTTTTTACTTCTAAACACATTCATTTCTGTTGGAACAACAAAATAGTCACAATAAACCTGAAAATACTTCATATAATATGTGAAAAAGAATCAAGTGGGAGTGAAACTCCATTTCATGCTTCAGTTTCTTCTAAGTTCTTATATCTTCTAAAAAGTCATGTTTAATTTAGTTTTTGTCTTATTTTAAGTGCATTAAGATATTTGCAGAAGAAACTAGACCAAAAATACTTGGTAATAGTTTACGGTTTTGCAGTGTAAGTCCTCAACTCTGAGCAATATCTGTGTTTTCTCTACAATTAGTGCGACAAATAGCATAAATGATCATTTGCATGCATCGGTTTTCATTCAAATGAAAGAATCAGAGCGCAGTAGAGTGTTTTCCAGCACAGCTGCCCTCATCCTGGCCTTCACCATGTAGGGAGAGAAGCTCTGGGTGACTGACAGACACGAGGATAGTAGAGGAAGGAGGATAAAAGAGTGGGATCCGCTCCAGATGCCGTTGAGCGGCTCTCCAGGGGGAGACATTTAAAGCATCGGATACGTTATTGAACTATAATTAAAGTGGCATGCATTGTAAATTCAAACTGGACAAGCACAACCGGTAGCTGAAAAAGTCTGCGTATTTTTGAGGTGAATTTATGCTTCAGAGTAACCATTACATGAGGTCAAAGGTCACGGTGTGCTCCGCGGAGGATGGGTTTGGTCCTCTGCCAGCGTTCCCAGAGATTTTCCACGTATGAATTCCCCAACTCTCCCTCATCCTGCCCAGGAAGTAGATGTCAGCCTCATTGGGTCAGTGAAACATTGTAAACCATCAGCAAAGGATTCAAATGAAGGTCATGAGAGAAGTCACGGAGATGGAAAATTTATTATAGCGTCTGCAGAACGCCGTTGGATGGATTGATACCGCACCTCAAATCAAGAGTCAAACCCCCAATGTTCTCCAAGTGCAGTTTGGGATTAACGTGACCTGCTTTCTCAGAGACATTCTCGGATGTTTTGTCTTTCTGCTGTACAACATGGACGTTTTTAGAGGCGATAAATACCAGTCGTACACGCCTCATTCTGCTCAGACATGAGCAAACGCACCATGACAAGCCATGTGCATTCAATCATAGACATGCAGAAATACAGATAGCTCTCTGGCAGACTTTATCGCACAGCCACAAATTAAAACACAGTGATATGATGTTCAGCACAAGCATGTAAACTATTTATTTCAGCCTGCTTGAAAGGCGTTAAACTCTGACCTTTCAGCTGCAGAGCTTTTTTAAGTTCCTGTTCTGAAACAGTGACTAAGCTGTTAAAAAGCAAAATTTTTCAAAGGTTAAAATGTTAAAACGATTAGATGTTCTTCCTGTAAATACTAGCATAAATGGGAAACAGTTGTAAACATTTGGCTAAATGACTTGTAAACAAGTAAACAGGGAGACAAAATAAAAATTTGGAGCTAATGTTCAGCATGAGTTCAATGCTATTGTCAGCAGTCTGAACGTTAGCATATCTCTGCACTGGTTTATTATTTCAGGAGGTAACATTAGCAACTCATTTTGGGGAAATTGCACATTTTAAAACATTTAAAGAATGTAATTTTTATTTTTAAAAAATGTCCATATTCTTCAAAACTGTCACTATGTCATGACAGCATAACATGAGAAAAACCTGTGAAAAACTTGAGCTCCACCTTCTCCCAGTGCTAAGGAGAAATAACCAATCAGAGTCTGGAGGAGGGACTTAGTGTTGTCAATCACTCTCTGTGTTGCGCTGCTCATCCTCCTCCTTCTTTTCCCCTTGCTCTCTGCTGTGCTGCAGCTAGGAGAGCATGTAGTGAATGCTAAGGCTAGTTAGCACGGCCACCGACGATGGTCCATTCTTCACCATTAGCACATTTAGTAGCACGTTCATGGGATGATTGACAGCGCTTAGACTCTCTTCCTGGCTCTGAATGGTGGTTTTTGACATTTCTTCAGCAATAGTAGCAGATCGATCTTTCACATTCTGGTGACATCTTTAACAAGCATGTAAAAACATACATATAACTGCAGCTTTAACAATCGGCATGCATTGCTATATTTAACAGTATTATTTATATAGCACATTTTCAGCAACGAGGAAGTTCAAAGTGATTTACATGAATTAGAAGAAAATACAAACAAAACAACAAAACCAAAAGAAAGACAAAAAGGTAAAAAATATAAGATGTTGAATTTGTTTGATACTATTAGAAGTTTAAAGCTAAATGCTGATTCTATAAATTCGATGGTACTTTCTATTTTTGTTCTAGATTTGCAAACTAACTACGCTTTGCTCTGGTATTAAAATTCTAAAGCTAAATGTTGGTATAAAGTAATAAGATCTGAGTTTCATTTGGGAAACTTTACATGTTTACATGCTTCCTCCTAAATAATTGACTGCCATATAAATAACATCTAATTGTTGCCAGTTGGTCCTGCAGTTCCTCAACAGTGAGCTTTGGAGATTTATTTATCTTGCTTCCCATCCTCCTCTCTCTGTGGCAGCAAGATAAACTTTGGTCCTCATCCAGCCGAGTGGCTGAGAAAAATGATCACATCATATTTACACCCAGCAGTAGGAAGTAGGAAGTCATGCATTACTAATAAGAAAAACTCAGACTCTCTGATCAACTCAAAAAGGGTAAAGTATGAGTTCATGTTCCTGCATCATTCTGTTTCTTCTCCAAACAGCAGCCATTATGTTCTGTTCAACGTGTTCTTTATGGATTTAGGCCAAACTTGCCTGGAGATTTTGTTGCTGAAAAAGGTAAACCCTTGCTCCCTTTAACAAAACACCTTTAGGCTGTTTAGATGCAGTTTTGTAAAAGGATGACTATAACAATGGGGGGGTTGAAGCCAACCAGAAGCTGTTTCATCCTGACTTGTATTGGTTGACTTGTGAAAAAGGAAACAAGGGTTGTGACTTCAACTTATGATTTATTGACTACAAACGGTTTGTGCAGTGAGCATTTAAGTCAAAAACACGTCAAGACCAAATCTTTTCCAAGTGGATTTGACCGCCATCGTTGTGTTATTAAAAACATTGGCTGGTCGATGGTAAAGTGCGCAGACAGAACAAATTACTGGACGTCAGTCTGTGGTAATTCAGGGAGATGTTTGATACATCATGACCACAGTCGTGTCCTTTCAAGTCAGCCTTTTAATCACAAATTCAGCTTGATCTGCAGCTTACAAACATCCAGGGGAAACTCAGAAAAAAACTGATGGTTTGTGAAAAGCTTTACTGCTCTGGAGAGAGGAGGAAACTTTGGGATGGTAAGACATGATATGACATGCATCTCCTACTTCTCCAGCAATGACCTCTGAATGCTTCCTCTCCTTGTTTGACTCCCTCGCCTCCTTCCCCGTTGTGCATGGCTGCAAACAACTTCCTGTTCTTGGGGTAATTTGCCTATTTGTAGATTTTTTTTTAAAGAAGTAAAAGCAGGAAAAGGTCAGCTCAGTGCTGCTTGATATGCTTTTAACCAGCTAATCCAATTGGCTGCAAGAGAGAAATAAGGCTATGAATAAAGTTGTGCCAATTCGGTTTCCGCTGCTTACATTAATGCATAGTAAGCCGTATTTGGTGCTTGTACTATTAAATAAGCAGTTTTAAGCATTTTCAGTGGGAGTAACAACTAAATGCAGATTTTAGCTACTGCATGGGGTCCCGTCTTGTTTCTGCAATTCTTCTAACTTTGGATACCAACAAATCCTTATGAAAATATCTTCCTTCCTTAGACTGCAAATTCTTTTCTTTCCCTATATTTTCTTTTGTGTTGTATTTATATTTTTTATTTATGTTTTATTTATATTCTCATTCCTTACTTATTTTTGCTTAATTTAGGGTTTTGGCTACTCACATTTAGTGTGTACCTTTGTATTTAATTTGTATTTTTTGTATTCTTTTGTATTTTGCGCACTGTGTGCCACTTTTCTGCCTGTAAGCTGCTGGTAACTTCAATTTCCTCCGGGGGTCTTCCCAAGGGATCAATAAAGTACGAGTCTAAATCTAAATCTAAAGAGTGGCCTAAAGAAAGAGGCCAATGGGAAGTAAAAGAAACATAAAGTTTAGTTCAAATAATGGTGGCATTTCAGATTTATTCAAAAACAGTTATTAATTAACAACATGTCTTCCAACATTCTAAATAAACAGATTAAAAAGTGTAAAATTTTGTTTTTGTATATGTCAGTAAATGAGCTGTTACTCAATGTCTATAATTTCCCATATGTTGAAGAATGCAGAATTTTCTGCCACAAGTTTCCAGCTAAAGTTTCCACATAGGCTTCATTTTGAGCAAATAGTAACCAGAAGTTTGGCTGAAAAGCTGCAAGGGATGTCCAAGTCTAAAACACCAGAGGATGAATGAGCAGATAACTGGAGATAAAACAGAACAAGAGGAGTTGGAATGAAAACAGAGGAACATTTTTAGTAAAGCGTCGAGACATCATGAACACACTCACACACACCGTGAGCCAAAGCGGGTGACGTTAGAGTCCTTATTTGGGTGTTAAAACAAACAGAAAGGCAGCATGTTTGACCAGTGGCAGCAGAACGGATATCTTGTCCTTCAGAAGGAGAATTGAGTCTCCTTCTCTCCCCCTTCTCCCATTTCCCTTTCTCTCCAAGCTGCAGCCACTGTTATTAATGTATTGACTTGCATTATTGATGCATGGCATTATGATAATGGCTCTGAGAGTCCTCATGGGGGGCAGTCGGAGTAGTCTGAGTGTGTGCGTCTGTTTGAGTAGAGCAGATAATTGGGGGGTTGCAATACATGACTGGACACCAATAAGGCCTTGATGGTTTCTAGCTCTGACAAAAAGACAATTAAGCAAAAAATGCGAGGGACCCACATTTGACACCATCAATTAAAAACACAACGGACTGAGAATGGTCTGCTTCTCAGATGTCTCTGATTTCTTTTGTCTCTCTGTCTCAGTTATCTCTTCTCATCTCTGTTTTTATCTCTGCGGCATCAGAGCATTCGGCGTTGTTGGTGGGCAAATATGATGCAGGCTGAGAACTTGATCTGCAGCAAAACCTACCTCCCACAAGCTCCTGAACACCATTTCTTTCTCCTTTAGTTTAATGTTGTTTGGAAAATAAACCGATAGAAACTTTAAAAGCTTATTAAGTTGTATGAGAAGCACTTCTCTGCATGACAGAATTGTAGGAGTAATAAAGATGGTTTTATTTTCTTAAGACCAACAGAACGGGGAGATATTATCTGTAAAATGGATTCTCCTGATTGGTTTTCACATCTTTTACTCCCCCATTTCACATCAAACAAGATAAACAAGCTTATACAAGCAGGCAATCGCAGTCAATTAGTGTCCACATTAATGATAATTAATAGTTAATATTAAATAGATGATGTAGAAAAATGGCTAGCATTTCGAGAAGCTTTTTTTCAGTCTAGAGTCGGTAAATTTTTCTCAACTGTTTTGTGGGAGTGGATTTCAGTTTTTTGTTTCATGAATCATCCAATGACAGTCATAGCTAGAACTTATTGATTTACTCTCAGAAAGTAAAAACTACCCAACCATATTCTGTCTCTTAATACAGTGTAATAAGATATAAAGTCTTCTTGTTTTCAGTTTTCTTGGATTCGGTTAACACTTCTTACCAGTAGGTGGCAGTAATCAGTAATCCACCATTAAGTTGTTTACCAACAAACAACAAGAAGTAGAAGAAGAACTGATCAGAGTCCCTGAAATGCAGCATCGCAACGCCTCACTGATTGAATCACTTTTAAGCTCCTAGTGAGGAAATTTTAGGAACTCTGAGAGAAAACACTGAAAATCTTTAAGAGTACAGCAGGGGCCCCTAGAGGACATGGAGGATTTTTTTTTTTCGTTTTTGTTCCCTCACAATAATGTACTGATCAGTTCATGCCGCATAACTAAATACACACATTATATCTGGGATTTTCAAAATCACTCTTCAGACCATCCCACAATCTTATTCCCAGGATTGAGGATTTTTCTGCCCCCTTAAGATAAAGTCAACTCTCTCTCCTGGATGTTATATGTTGGCTTCGTTGACAGCGACCAGACAGGAAACGGTCGTTAGAGGAGAGGTCGATATGCAGCAAAGGTCTCAAGGATCAGAATCAAACCAAGACAAACTACAACCTGGGTCGTCCCAGACAATCATGTAAAGTACCATGTCCTTCAGTATTTCTATCAATTATTGATCCTGTGCAAATATCATGTAAAACTCAATATTTACCTTCTATTTGACATAGAAAAGTTCAACTACAAATACTGTATTAATAAATAAATAGATAAATAATGAACAAATCTAATCAGTTTGTGTTTCCTGAAATCAGAGGTTGCACAGTCATATTTGCCTTGCAATCTCTCTTGTAGTTTCATTTCTTTTGCTGTTTCGTCTTACACAAACACACTCACTGCTTTTACAAATGGGTCTGTTGCATAATTTAGTGCATTTCCCAGTTCTCTATCCAGCTGAAATACAATTCCATAAACCATGAAGCATTGATTGTAACCTTTGCAGATATGTCTGTCCGAGGATTTCTGGCAGGTGTTCAAAACATATTATTGATTATCATTTTCAGCAAAAAAACAACATTTACATAAATATGAAAATATTGCTGCTCATTTTTAGTATTAAAGAAATATTTTCCTATTCAGGCAGAGACGTTTTTACAGAAACAGTTTTGGGTTTATGAAATGAAGGCGAGTGCTGGGGACTCAAAAGTATTGGGAAGGTTTGAATTTGCATAAATTTTACTTTCAAAATGGAAGTAACTAAACTGGATTTATTTTGATCACATATTTCTGCATACAAACAGAATCGGTTTGTCTTGTACGAAGACTAAAGTATTGCATTCCCTCAAAATAAATGTGCAAATATACCCTTGTCTGTATTATATACAGTTACAAATGTCAATTTAAAATGCAAATATAATGAACTGCTTAAACTGTCCAAAACCTTTTCTCGAAGTTTGGGCTTTTTCTTCTTAAATGTGTTCCCAGAACTGTTGTGTGTATACAGACATAAAACCTAAACGGTGATTTTTCCTTCTGCCACTCTTCTTCCAGGTGAAACCTTCTCAGAAAGCTTCAGCCACACAGAGAAATGTCAACTTTGCACGAAATGCACAGGCCTGCTCCGCATGAGCACGCCCTGCACCGACTCCAACGACGCCATTTGCACATGCAACTACGGCTACTACCACAACAAAATCACGGAGCGGTGCGAAGCCTGCACCAAATGTCCCGAAGGCCAGGGGATGCTGTACAGCTGCGGGTCGGACCACGACACGGTGTGTGAGTCGTGCGACGACGACACTTTCTCGGACCAGGATAGTTTCAGGGACCCTTGCATCCCCTGCACAACTTGTGATGAGGGAGATGAGGTGCTGCAGGACTGCAGTCCTGTCAGCGACACCGTTTGCCAATGTAAGTCGATTATATTCATTTTTTCTATTGGCCTCTAAGGCTATGTTCACCCAAATCCGATTGGTTTTGTGAAATTGGATTTTTCCAAACACAGGCAAACTGTATGTGATCTGCAGTGTGACCTACTAATGACCTGAAAGCGTCCCGTATGCGCAGTACAGGACACCATGACGTCACATATGGAGATTATGCTCAGTTTTTCACCAACCATCATAAAGAAGTAGAACTCAGCGTTTGTGAAACTAAACCTGGATGCTAACGGTGGAGCGCATCTTGCGGTTTTGAAGTTGTTGTCCAACCAGAGACAGAATATTCCAGTCCACCACGGCTGTTGTTTTTCTTCCCGCTTGCGCGTATCGGGGCGCAGAAAAGCGACGCTTGTCGAGTATCAGTGACGTTCAGGACCTGAACGTTCAGATTCAGGTCACATTTGAATAGATCAGATATCGGATATCCAAGGGGGTCGAAAATCCAACCTGTTTCGTTCAGACTGTCATGAAGAGATCAGATGCAGGTCGCACTAAGGCAAGAAATTAACAATTTGAATTTTGTCAGTTCAGCCTGCAGTGTGATCGAAGGCTAAATGTTTTTGACCTTTGTTGACTGAGGTGAGTTGCACAACAAAACACAACTCCACCCACCGAAGAGCAATAATTAAAGAGAAAAAATGATCAAGATGAATAATTCTACCAATTTGTTTGTCATTCACAGAAAATACGTGATTCAGGTATTGAAACAAATTGTCACTACAGAAACCTTTTCTGTAGATCAGAGTATAATCTTTCAAGGTAAAAATACTGAATATTTTGGTTAGAGATTCATGGAGAAATAAAAAAATATATATATTTTTCCCCAATAATATTATTCTGCGTGGTTAGAGTTGGAGTTTGCTGAGAGAACCAAACATTTTACCAGTTCACATGCAAATATCTAGTTGCTTTATTGCTGCACACTCAATTACCTTTTCTTGTTCGTAATATAAAACTTTTTTTACTTGAAGATGTAACAGTCAACTTTGTATTTTATGCATCAAAATCTAATTTCAGGACATATCCATTTATGTAGATGACACGATGACTTCCCTAACTTATTTTTCATGTCAGTTTATTTCAGCTAATGTTATGTAGCTGCACAAATCATTGGCACAGATCATTAAACGTAGATAGCCTGATCCAATGGATCGGACAGTTCTGTTGAAATATTTCAGTGGATTTTATTATTTTTTTATGTTAGCTTATAAACTAACACATATGGAGTTGTTCTATCTGACCAGCAGGCACATTTATCAAACTTTTGTGCAGATTGAAGTTGATTTACTGGGTTCACTGGCCAGGGTGACGCTGAAGTCAATGGAATATGACTGAGTGCATATTTGCTGAGCGGACAGTTCAATGACTGGACAGATAATTCATCGGCCGCATTATCAGCTCATCTCAGTGCAACACTATCGGCGTTGTTGGCCTAAATGCCATGCTCAAGCTAGTCTCGTTGTCTTCTTGGACTCATCCCCTCTCAAGGAACAAGGGCTACAGTCTTTTTATTATATATATATTTTGCATTTCGTCAGGGTCACCATCTATAAACAGGGCTTGAATTTTTCTTCCTTTTTTTTAAATCTCATTGGACCCTGTGGGTATCATGCTCCAAATCACAGATTCCTAAATACCGCAGTCACTTCTCATTCCGATGATCTGATGCCTCCCAGATTAAATCAACGCTTTTGTGAACTGACAATAAGGAGTCTGTTGATTAGCCATGCAAGAGCTCTGAAAGATGTGATCACAGCCACAAACACAGAGTTGCTCTCAAGCTGAAGGCAGTCTATTGTTCGACTCTAATGAACTTGTGTGAAGAGTTTTGAGGATGCACATAGATGCTGTCTTTAATTCAGAGTATGCTTAATAATTTTAACCAATTTTTTTAAGTGTTAAAAACTGTTTTGGTAAATCGTTGATGCAAAGCTTCTGTTTTGATTATTTTATCCAGTTATGGCGATTATTAAATCAAGCTGAGATGCTACTCAGAAATGTGAAATAATTTCCAGGGTTTCTATGCAATTTTGGAAAGTGTTCATTTTTATTTGACAGTTTTCCACATTTGATCAAATTTAGATTTTACGTATTTTTACTCTGCAATATTCTATACCTGCGGTGTTTTATTATTTTTTTCATTTATTTAGTTTTTTACACAATTTTACACTTAATTGTCAAACATCTTGATTTTCAACATTTTATCCATCAGAATTCTGGTTTTGTTGACAGATAAATTAAAAAAATCATAAATATTGCAGTTTTTAGGCTTTAGACGACTTGCAGTTCAGGTTGAACTGCAAGTTGCACCATTGGTGCTGTTGGTACAAGGTGCACCACTTGTACCAAATGTACAAAGAGGAGAGTTTAAAGTGACTCTTGAACTTGCTTTAAAAGTTTTTAAGTACAAGAGTTAAAGATTTTGAAAGGGGGATGAGAAAAACAATGAAATGCCACTAAGCCTCATTCTGAACAGCTAATTTTAGCACAATGTTGTTTCTTGTTTTTGAAACCAACGAGAACATTTAGCAGTTCAGAATGAGTTTTTGCAATAAGACATTTAAAAAAAACTCAATTTCAGTGTCAAAAAGTAGATTTCCAAGAGAGAGAGAAAAATGCTTTGTTACATAATTTGTAAGTAATTTACACATGTGTATAGCACATTTTATTTACATGTGATTAAACTATAAAGTTGGAGTGAGTGCAACAGTAATAAATTGTTGGTTGTCTTCCTGGCTTTAAAAGGAGCTTGGGATATCAACCGCAGAAGGATTAGGTTATTTGACAAGCAAAAGTGGAAAAACACGTATTGATGTTTTCCACCAAGAGCCCTGCTGCTGTTAGCAACAACGCTTTAACAGCTTAATACAGGCTGTGGTCTCTGAGTGGGAAGCACGTTTAGCTGAATGACGCACCCAAGATCAAGACATCAGAAGCCAGAACTCCAACGGTAATACATCCCTTCTGATAACAAACCAACTGCAGACCATGATGAATGGGAATTAGCTGTGATTGTAAGCATGATGTCTTACAGCCCACTGCGTATGGGCTTTATTGTCATATCCTACTCCTCCCTCTAACCCAATCATGTGCCTTTTATTTCTAATGTAATCTTTTTAGGGAAGAACACTCGTTATCGGCGCTTGTGAATCTGTGGTGCTGCCAGATATCCATTAATGTTGTGGAGTCAGGCGAAGCAGGCCTGAAGGCTAAACACAGCCAGGAAGGTAACAGGACAAGCTGTAACTTGAGATACTAGAGACATAGTTTAGCTGTAGGTGGAAAGAACAGAACATCCTTTTAATCAGATTATCCTCTGAGAAAAAGCTCGACTTCCTGCTTCTCTGTTTTGATTATGCTTAAATTTAGCGTCAAGGGCAAATTTTCCCCTGTGATAATTTACGATTTTTGCTATTTGGTGGGAAATCCACCCAATTTCCTCCAACTCCTCTGGTGGGACAGTTCATGTTTTGAGTCACACTCACAAAAATATCTTCATCTTACTCTAAAATATTGAGTAGTCTTTTTCAGGCTAGGCCTCCAGAGTTGACACTTTGACAGCAAGATGGTTATCTTAAGAAGTGTGATATGGCTTCCACTCCTCTGTGGGCCACAGAGCAAGGTCAAAGGTTGAAGATCATGGGAGGCTTAAATTTTGAGAAGGATTATCAGACAGAGTGAGTTCCCACCAGACATGAACAACACGGTATATAATCCTTTCAGGGGTCAAAAAATATAATCAGCAACAGTGAAAATGGGGGTAATTAGGTGATAATTAAAGTCGGTATGTTCACAGCTACAGTGCTGATCAATATTTATAAGATAATTAGCACATAGCAAAAAAGTGATCTTAAATTCAGCCAGTTAATTTTTAAAATATAAAATAATGTGTTTTTTCTGCAGTATTAATCTTAGAGATTAAACGTTTTATATTTTCGCTGTAGCATCTCAGGATCTATGAGAGGTTTCCAAACGTTCCAGTTTCTTAGTCACAAAATAAAAATATGAAAGGGTCATGATGCCGACTTTTGGTTGAATATTCAAACATTTTTACTGTCGGTTAAAAAGTTGCACAATCTGCATCAACAAACAGTATATTGGCCAACATGTTACTTTTATTCACTTTCAGATCTGTTTTTTTATACTATATATCTAAAATGCAAGTGGTTACTCAGTCATTTTTGGTATTGGTATCATGACTCCAAGTGGACTGCGCTCTTTCTGTAAGCTAAATCCAACCATACAGTGAAGCTTGCTAAAAATGAATAAGCGGACATTTAACCCTCACGCAGTTTTAAGAGCGTTTGAATGAACTTTTTATCCTGTGCACAGTCTGCCTGCGTTTATTTTTGAAGCACCACATTGCTTCGTCATTGACAGACAATGACACCCGCTGCGCACTTCACCTGTGCCGTGCTATACTGGGAGAGTGAAACAGTTAAATCCATTCAAAATGTTGGTCAGAAAGAGTAGAAATTAAGCAAACATTATTGCTTCACCTTTTCTTCTTGAAAACTCAGACATACCATCTGAATCTGGGAATCATCCTCCTCCTCCCCTGGATCTGGATTTATTATTAAGTGAAATTTGTAAAAATAAAAAAAAAATAGTAGGCTATGCAGGCATAAGTGTGTATGAATTTGTGGACATGTGCACATATGTGCTGCATTTGGACGCATCAGGCATTGTGTGGATCAGATCTGCTGTTTCTGTGCCATCGCATCACGTTGCAACAGCGTTCATATGGATTAGGTGCAATGATAGTTTTGTGTGTACCCTCCAATAATATCCTGCAGGCAGACAGGATATCATTGGAGGGTTTGGGATAAGTTAAGTGTTGGCCTGATCTAAGAACGATCAGATAGGTGGAACAGAGAGCTGATCTGATGCACATTAATTATACAGAGAGATAATTTCAAAATACATAATTAATAGGAGTGGGAAGCCATGCTAGCTCAGCATTCCAAGGCC